GGGTATACTATAAATTTGCATGAATATGGGTTATTTATAATTGTGGGGGAAAAAAAGTAGTTGTTGAATGGAAAATACAAAGAGTTTTACAAAATTTGGACTTTAGATAGTGGGAAGAGTAATGGCATTGACAGAGCATTTTCTACACAATTTCATAAAATGGGTCATTCCACTTTTAGATTTTCGTTCACATTTACAAATTGGACTTATAAGGGAAGTGAATAAATAAAATTTAAAACTGGGATAAATTAGATGATAAAGAAAAATATTGTAAAAGAATCATAAATTTTTATATGATTTTAAACAACTAAACTACATATGGAAATTCAATATAAATGAAAGTATAAAAATTACTTTTTCGACTTCACATATCCATTTTAAATGATGTCTTAAAATATGGAAAATAAGTATTTAATATAAACGGTAAATATGGAAAAGATTATCACCCCTTCTTGATATGTTTGAAGTAATTTGAATAATACGTATTTAATATCGAGGGTAAAATATGAAAAAAAATTATTATTCTTTCTTGATATATCAAAAATAATAAGTAAAACTAAAATATATTTAGAAAAATAAATGATGAGTAGAGGGAGCACAAAAAGAAAAAAGTATAAATATGGAAAAATTGTTTTCCGGGAAGAAAACATTTTTGAAGTAAGACAGAAATATAATTTATTAGGTTCAATGATAATAATATTCGACTCAATATATTTAAGCGAAAAAAATTATTTATAAATCTAATAAGGTCCGCCCGAAGTGCGGATATGTTAACTAGTTTAATACAAATGAAAGTATAAAAGTTACTTTCTACTTGACATACTCATTTTAAGTGATGTCTTAAAATATGAAAAATAAATATTTAATATAGACGGTAAATATGAAAAAAATTATTATCCCTTCTTAATATGTTCAAAGTAATTTGAAAAATACGTATTTAATGTCGAGAGTAACATATGAAAAAAATTATTATTCTTTTTTGATAGGAAAAATTAGTAAACTAGTCAAAATAAATAACATATTTAATAAAAATATCCATATTTTATAAATATTAGCAATAATGTCAAAAATGTCATTATTTTAAAAAATTTACGTGTTTCAATTTTCTTCCTATTTTATCTCTCTTTTTCAATTAATTCTATATATCCTTTTTTTTTTTAAAAAAATTATTCTCTCTCATATTTATCTTTTCAAATTGTTAATTCTCTCTCCCATTTAATTTTCTCTCTCTCATGGTTATCTTTTATGATTTTCCTCCAACATTCAAGTTGCAAATATCTTTTTGCCATATATTTTGATTGTTTTTTTAATCCAAAATTGAATCAACAAGAATCCCTTTGATTAAGGTATCTCTAATCTTTATCCTATTTTCAGATTTCTTTTCCAATTTTATTTTTGTTTAAATATTAAAAAAATGTTATTTGTATTTTTCAACTTCCGTTATGATTTACTCTCCAATGGCTGAATCCAAGAGACTTACTAGAGGTATTCATCTTAATCAACCAATTTCTGGTGATTTTTCATCCTTTAATTTATTTATTATTTAACAAATAGTGTATAATGTATGATCCGCTGCTAAAATAAGGGAAGAAAGAGGGTAAGAACATTTACAAGACTCATTGGTGTGCAAAACCTTCCTCAAATTTAAAACACAAATGTAGAATCTTTGTCTACTCGTGAGGATCTTGAAAAAAACGACGAAGATCGCGAACAATTTTCTATTAGTTTGTTTTGTATTTATAGTTCTTTTTTAGAATTTGGTATGCTTTCTTAATTTGTATTCAAATCACTATGTATACTATCAATATTTGTATTTATTAAAAATTTCATGTTGCATGGTTTATGAATCTTGTATTTGTCCCTAATTTGTATTCATCCAAATGTATGTCAACTAGTTTATTTGTATTCGAATACAAATACAAATAATAGACATATTGGAATGAATACGACTTAGAAAGGGAAACAAGATCTTGAAAAGAAAAATAAATACACAGTGAAAAATATATACGAATACAAATGTATTTCTTAAATAACTATATTTTATTTGACATACATATTGGAATGAATACAAACTAATAAAGGTATGTCAACTGAATGTGACATTTTTTTCTAATTTGTATTTATTCTAAAGATATGTCAACTAGTTATGTATTTTATTTAAGAATGAGTACACCAAATATTCAATTATTTCTTTTCAATTTTATATTTCATTCACTTTTTCATCATACTAATTTTTTGTATTTTATATATTATTATACAAAATTCTAAATAAAAACTAGAATAAATAGAAATACAAATAAAATACATATTGAAATTAATACATACAGGATTTTTGAAGAAAAAAATAACTATATAGGGAAAAAAATATATGAAAATACAAATATATTTTTTAAATGACTATATAGATAAATTCGGCATACCTATTGGAATGAATACAAACTAATAAAAAACTATAATAAATATAAATAGAATATATTGTGGAATGAATATAATTTAAAAAGGTAAAAATTCTGGAGAAAAAAAAATAAAATTTAAATTTTATTTGAAAATGTAACTGATGAGAAAATTAAGGATGCTTGCCTTTTTTTTTGAAATATTCCCCCCTTAATTTTCTCTTATTAAATAATTATATTCTTTAAATAAAAATAAATAATAAAAACATATATAACAAACTAAAATGACATTTTTACTAAATATTGAAGTTGTTGCTAATGAGTCCTCTTAAATGCTAAAATATTGACATTTTGAAAAATTTCCCTTTTTGATATGTCAAAAATAACAAATAAAAGTAAACATGTATTTTAGAAAAATAATTGATGAGTCAAACTGAGGGTCACTTTGTAAATTACATGTTTACTTTTAAAATTATCCTATCACCCGAACTAATTAATATCTTTGTAAATGGGTCACTTTGACCCATTTTCTCGTCTGGATTGTTACCACGCAAATGGGGCGCGTGACTCAGTCTTTCCACTACCATAATCAGTTATAAAGTGCGACGTGTCATTATATTTCTTTAATATTAATTATTTAATTAATTTACATCATCTTCTCCATTATCTTCTTCACCCAAATTTAAAAATCCAATTACCTTTTCTTCATCTTCTTCAACTTAGAAGATCTACTTACTTCATCCATTTTTATCCTTTTTATTTCTCGTCTCTTGCTTTTCTTTGTTTCTTTTTTTTTTTCTGGTCTCATTACCTTGCTTTAGTAACTTGAGAGTTGAATTAATTTTATTTAGTAATGTTTTGGTGACGAAAATAGTGTTGTAACATGGAAGCATCATAGAGACTACATTGAAGGTGACTATGGCTGCTACTTTTGTAGGATTTACAACAAAGAACAAAGGATTTGAGTAATTTAAGGAGAAAGAGGAAAAAATGAAAATAAATTAATAAAAATATATATAATAAAATGAAACTGAAAAATAAAATTAAAAATTAAAAAACTTAATATGTGTCAAACAACTATTGGTGCGTGATTGCACCTTTTTTCTAGCAATTGGGGTTGGGTAAAAAAAATAGACATTTATAACACTCTTAAACTGTTCAATCCAGAAGTAGGACACCCACAAAGATAAAGTGTCTTTTTGAAAATTCAAGACAATTTCAGTAATGACTTTATGTCTTTTCTCATTAATTAATTTAATCAATGAACATAAATCATTATTTAGTTTTTCTATATTAGTCAACTGTATATTCTCAAGGCTACATAATTCATAAAGGTAAAATAGGAATAATATTGTAAATTATGTATTAATTTATGAAATGGTAAATATTATGAACCAACTATTTATAATAAGTATGAGATATAAAAAGGAATAGAGGGAGAGAAAATCTATTAAAATAAATAATGATTGACATAATAAATCACCCATATTAATTATGAAGCTAATGAACTAAAAATTTAAGACTTTAAAAAAGACTTATTTTTAAAAAATTAATTAATTAACTAAAAATGTAATAGGTAAAAAAAATATTTTTTTTTAATTTGTCAAAATGAACAAGTAAAAAGATATAAGTAAAAAAAAAAAAAAAGTTGACAAACAATTAGAAAAAGAGAAAATATTGATGTCATTCACTTCAACTAATTTGATATTACTCCTGGTCTCTTTTATTTTAGTTTATTTATCTTAATTAGTAATTAAACGATCAAAACATATATATTTATCATAATTTTTAAAAATATTTAGAATTATTAAACTATTGTAAGTTATACGTAGTAATTATTATTATATAGTAATTTTTAAAATAAATAAATTTTGTTTCAATAAAATTAACATTAAACATTAATTGATTTTTGCTTCATAGTCTGAATCAAGTCAAATAAATTGGAAGAGTCCACATATATGATTAACGTTGAATTTGGAAATGGGGGAAAAACAATAGACTGGTTGTTATGATGTGTGAACTGGGAAGAAAGTCTTTTTTTTTTTGTTATTTATTTAAAAGCTGATTACACATGGGAGGAGATAAAAGTAATTTCACCAACGGGTAGTCTGCTTGCACATCACATTTTGCAACATTTTCACATATACACAAATGTCTTACATATTCAATTTAAACATACCTAGAATATTACAACTCATGGGGCTAATGAATAAGGTGATATATTTTAAATAGTACCATGTACGTAAGTAGACACTTGACAATATGTTCGTACATGTTCACATACTCTATCAGAATATGTAACAGTTCGAGTGTTTTAAAAAAATTCACTCTGTTGATGTATTCATCCTATTAGTAGTGCAAAAATTAATTATTAAATGTATTAATCATTCCAACTTCTACCTTGCATGAAATTATTTACAAATTGACTCATAAATTACTCATATTTTCTTTTGGGAATTGTAAAATGATAACCGAACACCATACTTAATATTCTAAATTTTATATCAAGCAACTAAAGAGCTAAACACGATATATAAGCTATGCTAACTTTTTTAATGCAGGAATGACTATCTACCTTCCTAACATGCAACAAAAACGACCCATGAGAAAATGTCAAAACTATCCCTCAGGTTTAAGGGTTTGTTAAACTTTGTCCTGTAATATCACAATGAACATAAATAGCCCATTATAAGTTTGCGAAAGGACACTTTTGGTGTCCCCAACAAAAGTTTGTAAAATTTCACCTAATGGATTTAATAATGACCTTAAATCAAGGGTTGTTCATCAAAAGGGCTATTTGACTAATCCTATAGTTATCTTCTGCCCACAGCTCTGGAAGTCACACCAACACAGTGAACTACACAAGATGCATTGTTTGTGCTGCAAAAAAAGCTGCCTTATATTATTATACAAAAACATAAACTCTGTACTAAGGTGCAAAACCCCATATCCAGAAAGGGTCCACACATCTGTATGCTTCTTGGACACAAGAAACCCAACAAAACGAGTCCTGTTTAAAAGAAAATAATATCAATCTACGTGAAACTTGACAATAATACAAGGACAAGAAAAAAGGATAATCAAGGCATAATACATAAATGTGTCTTTTAACTTGGTCTTAGTTGACGTCTATGCTCTCCAACTTTCGATGTACACAAGTAGGAAAGTAAACTTGTATAAAATAAAATAAGTTGACATGTGTGTTCTACATAGCAATTCGTGTTCTGAGTGTATTATTCCATGTAGGATGCGTGTAGTCACTTGTTCAACTCAATAAATTTTAAGGATCTACATGTGCACAACCAAAGTTGGAGGGTCTAGATATCAACCGAGACTTTAGTTAAAGAACACTAAAAAAAGAGGATTGAACTTACGTTAGATCCTATACAGAGTTCTTAATAGGGTTCTTCAACTTGCTACTAAGCTGTTCAATTTCTGCTGCTTGTTCCTTGCAACAAGAAAAATCATAGACTTAGAAAGGACAGGCGGAAAACAGCAACAATCTGGAGAGGGTTAAAAAGGAATGACAGGGAATAAACACTTCATAATCACCTGATGTAAAGCTTTCCACCACCGGTTTGATTGTTCCTGCAGTACACGCCATTCGACCGCCAGCTCATGTTCTATTGTGTTACTCTGGGCATAGTGAGAGGTTGATACTGCTTTTCTCTTTACAAGAAAGAAATTGGAATATGAAAATTGGATCATCAAATAGCAAATTAAGGGAGAAGAGGTTATTTTTGTGTGCAGTCAAATGCGTACCATTTCTTCTCCTAGCTTTTGAAAATTGATTTTTTCAATGGACAGATGGCCAGGAAAGTCTTTACTTTTCACCGGCTCCTGTATAGTCCCCCTCCGAGCAACAACTGGCCTTAACAAGACATGAACAACAATGTCATTATCTCTGTCATCTTAATTATTTCTCATACTTCATTCATCTTATTCTAATAAAATAGTAGGATTGACAAAAGTTCATCCAAGATAATGTCAAATAGAGATCACCCATAAGAAGCCCAAGCCACTATCATGACTGAGGCTTACATCATTTCTCTATCCAATAAGAAGCACAAGTCACAATCATGACTAGATTTACATCATTTTTCTTTCCAGTAAGAAGCACAGGCCACTATCATGAATGAGATTTACATCATTTTTCTTTGTCCCTCTATAGTGAGCAGGTTAGAGGGTTATTGGAAGGAAATATAGTATAGAAGAGATTCCTGGTGCATCAAGCTTAAACTCAACGAAAGCTTGTTTGGAAAGGTATTTACCCTAATCATTTCTCTTTATGAAAAAAAAATCCAGTGCCATGAGATGGTTGAGTATAAATAACATATATGACATCTACCATGATGACCATCAGGAGGAATTACATAGACAAAGCTGACAGTATTATTTATCGAAATTAAAGTACCTCTAGGCTTCTCGATAATTCTCTAAGACAGAAAAGGTAATATCACACCATCATAATCAGTGTTTTCAAAGGTATGATGGAATTTTGTAGAAGAAATGCTAAATGGATATGGATTACCTCCAAAGTTCATACAGTTGGTTATGGTCCATGTCACAAAAACCAAATTTTCAGTCAAAGTTACTGGGAACACTCGTGATTATTTTGAAGGCAAGAGGGGGCTGAGACAAGGAGATCCTATCTCTCCCCTACTATTTGCGCTAGTAATGGAGTACCTGTCTAGAACCACGACTCAAATGTGTAAGCTGACTGATTTTTTATTCCATCCCATGTGTAAGGGGCAATAGTTGACTCTCCTCATATTTGCTAATGACTTCATGATTTTCTGTAAAGGAAATGTGGTATCTGTACAAAGTGTTATGGAGGCCTTACAACATTTCTCTAATACAACTGGACTAGTGGCTTAACATAGATGAATCTAGTCTGTTTATGGCTGGTGTAGATGAGAATACTTGAGGGGAAATTCTCAACCTAACTGGTTTCACCTTGGGATCATTTCCAATAATGTACTTGGTCCTTCCTCTCTCTCCCAAGAAGTGGAACAAATTGGAGTGTCACCAACTAAAGATGAAGATTACAGACAAGATCAGGGAGATCAGGGCTGTCTCAGGCAAGACACTTATCTTATGCTAGTAAGCTTCATGTCACTGATTCTGTATTGTTCACCACATCACCTTACACAATTTTTTGGGGGGGCTGTATTAATAATTCCCCAATCACATTAAAGGAGGTAGACAAGAAGTGTAGGGAGTTCCTTTGGTGGGGTACTGATGAAAAGAAAAAACTATCACTTGTGGCTTGGATAAGCTATGTCAACCAAAGAAGTATGAAGGTCTGAATTGTCGGTTGTGGAATATGGCTGCATTCGGAAAACTTATATGCATGGTGATGAAGAAAAAAGATCTATTATGGATAAAATGGGTGAATGGTATGTATATAAAAGGAGGAGATGATTTCTGCAACTGGAAAAAGCTGCAAAAACTAAAGCCGAAGATGACAAGGAGATGATCATTATTGTCTACCTGCTAACAGGAAATACTCTGTCTCAAAGGGGTACTGTGCTGCCAGCTGCACCAAGAATGTATAACGCTGACTTAATATGGAGTAGAATTACAATGCACAAACGTAGGTTATATTGTAATTAGCTGTCTCTTGGGAGGTTACTCACAAAGGATAGATTTCTGATGATAGTGTGATAACCACATGTGTGTGATGTGTGAAGATATGTTAGAGAGAGGTTAGATATGTTTCAATACACAAAAAGAGGCAGGAAGTGTGCCTCTTGATTTAATACATACAATTTGTAATTAGCTGGTTGATTTTGGAGGCCTACTGATTATTGGCAATCTTCCTAGAATGGGGTCGAGATAATGGGTGCTCTTTCGGTGTAACTTTTTGATTGTTGGTATGGTAATATATCACAGTTTACTAAAAAAAACTAAATCAGTATTTTCAACGGCGACCCACGGGGCAAGCCATGGAGCTAGGAGGGCTATATCTCACAAGAACGGATTGGCAAAGGAAAACTATCGTGGGGCATAAGTTCTAACCTCCCGAGCATATGCTCACTTAAGCGTAGGTTTCAATCTTCCGGAAGTTCATTTGAGGGGTAAGTTCAGAGAACTACTCAAACCTAAAATCAAAATTGCTTAGCAAGTTTCTTTATTACTTAAAACACTCAAAAGATAGCTAATTTTAAATTCTCACTAAAAAGAAACAAACTCAAAAGTCAAAGTCTCCTCTTAATTGTTATCCTAATTTCATAATCATTTCTCTGTCGTTTATAGCAACGAATCATTCTTTGGCTCTTTATCAGCAAAGTGCAGACTACAGAGCAAAAGCTTTGTCTTCAAATACTTGTGAATTCCTTTTTTATGCTTTCAAACAATAACTTTATACTATTGTCATTTTTATTTTTTTGAACTATTAGGAACTATCACTTTAAAACTCCAAGTAGATAACCACCAGGCTATAGGTGTGATGCATCTTTCATCTTTCACTCTTACATTCATAATCATACACTAATTTTATAATTTTCAACAATTTAATGTAATTTTACTTTTTTGTGATTCATATGCTTATTATATTAATTTATCAAAAACAAAAAATTAAATATTTATGGGCCTTGCTTACTCCTTGCATCTCAAGGCTTACGTCTCGCCCCACCCTGCCTTTTGAAACATTACCAACTAACTCATGTTATCAAGGACTTTGAAGATCATTACACAAAAAGCATAGTTTGTCAAAAAGGAATGTTAACTGGCAAGGTGTATGTAAGAACATACAAAAAAACATCTAATCAACAAGACAAACAAAGGGTGAGACAAAACTTGCCAAGCCGATCTAGTACCTTCCATCACCTAACATAAGGCACGTCCTTTTCAACTCAAAAATGGCGGTCTCTGCAGCCTCACTTGATTTGAAGATAACAAATGCTTTTCCTGGTAGTGTTCATGCGAGAGAAAAAAACATAGAGTTCACTGAGAAAAATGTCAATAAATTTTACTTCAGGATTTTAGAATAAGATACACGATGGCCTACCATTTAGGGGATTAGAGAAGGTGTTATGCGGCACCATTTTTGCACTAACCTTTTGCCTTAAGGCATGCCAAACAATATCCTAGAATATAGAAAATGAAACACAAAGAAAGATAAATGAGACAAGTTCTTCGAGTATAAAACTAGGAGCAAAAACAACAATGAATAATTCAAGAAAAAAACCCACCACAATATATATCAGACGAAAAATTTGTCCTGATATATCTATCTCTACCAAATAAAAGGACATAAGAAAATATTTGAGGAGAGGCGTGAAACTTTTCTTGAATCAATTTGGATTCATTCCGGGATGCTCAACTATAGAAATCATTCATTTGGTAAGGAGGCTTGGTGGAGCAGTACATAGAGAAGGAGACACACATGATTTTCATTAACCTAGAAAAGGCTTACAACAAAGCTCCAAGGAAGGTTCTACAAAGATGCTTGGAGGCTAGAAGTGTACCTGTTGTTGAGAATATAATAAAATAATAGAAAGTATGCTCTCTCTAAGAGCTTAAGATTTTAGATGAGATGGTCACATACTTGAACACATGTGGTCTGATGTGGAGTATATTAAGGAGCTCAAGGACATGTACGATGGAGGTAAGACCTCAAAGCACCTCCCATTTTTTATGAGGTTGCACCAAAGCTAAGCCCGTTTATATTTGCATTGGTGATGAAGGCATTCACACAACAAATTCAAGGTGAGGTGTCAAGGTGTATGTTATTTGCAGGCAACATAATTCTGATTGACGAGACTCATGACGAAGCTAATGCTAAGCTGGAGATTTGGAGATAGACCCTGGAGTCAAAAGGATTCAGATTAAGCACGATCAAGACAAATTACTTGGAGTGCAAGTTCAATGATGTAATGTATGACACAGATATGGAAGTGAGGCTCGACATTGGGGTCATCTAAAAGAGAGAAAGTTTCAAGTTTTGGATCTATTATAGAAAAAAATGAAGAGATCAACAAGAATATCATTCACTGCATTAGTGCAGGGTGAATGAAATGGAGGCTTACATATGGAGTTCGTGTGATAAAAAGGTGACACCAAAATTTAGAGACAAGTTCTACAGAGTGGTAGTTAAACCAACTATATTGTATGGGGCGGAGTGTTGGCAGTCACAAACTCTCACGTTCAAAAGTTGAAAGTTGCAGAAATGGCGATACTAGTCATGCTACAATAGCTATGTGGGCAAACTAGGAGAGATAGGATTAAAAACGAGGATATCTGGGACAAGGTGGGAGTGGCTTCAGTGAAAGACAAAATGCGGGAATCAAAATTGATATCGTTTGGGTAAGTGAAGAGGAGATGTCTAAATGCCCCAGTGTAGAGGTATGAGAGGCTGGCTATGGATGGTTTCAAGAGAGGTAGAGGTAGACCATAGAAGTATTGGGGAGAAGTGATTAGACAGGAAATTGAATGAAGGGCCAGGATCATTTAGCGTTTAATGAATGCTCAAAGGCTGAGATGAAGCCAGTAGTAAAAGTAATAGAAACGGCAGAGGCATCCATATTCTGGAAAACTTATGAACTTTTCTCCTCTCTTTCCTCAACTCTCTTCTCTCTCTTTCTCTTCCTCCTTTCTTCTACTACTTTCTGCAGATTTGAGCTATTATGGAGCTCCAACTTTCCATTTCTATGTCATTATATTTTAGCTTAGCTCTAATCTCAATTTCAGATATATATGACAGTGAATTATCCCCGAAACACTTGCAATTATTGTTTGTTTCCTTGTTTAATTCTGCTATTTAAGTTCATAACATACCATCACCACTAATGGACTCACTAAATATAGTGGCTTGAAGATGAGAATTAACATTTGTAAGTAGACAAATTTATAGAACAATTCTGAAACTAGATGCAATAACCTTGGTTAACATAAGTTATGTAAGGTTATTCCAAAATTTGCTTTTGGAATTTTCAAGAGGTATAGCAATAATTCAAAAGAGAAGTTAGTTAAAATACAAGAAATGTAATTCATGTAAAACTTTTATTTTCGTCAAAAAAGGAAGAAGAAAAGAGATAGCAAAAGGGAAAACAAGTTATTACCACATACATTTTGACTTACAAGAGCTTTGGAAACAATATTACCCGAAATAGAAATGGAAACATACACATGTCTACGAAATGAATTAACACAAGAGTTACACCTAATGACACAGTAATATTTCATTTTCCATTCCTCAAATGGACAAAATAAAGCACATATTAAACTGAAATAGACTTAAAATTCATTCTATGTACCTCCACTTCTGTTGATGCATATGAAGGATCAAGATTCTCAAGTAACACAAGTGTGCCACGCTTTTGAGCTGCTTGGAGTCTATCATACCATGGCTGGGCGGAACAAAATAATATATGTAAATCACAAAATATAGAGTAAGTAACTGTTTCGAGGCTAAACACATCATGTACATCTTCTACTTTTGCCTAAATAGTTGAAGCTTACATCATTTTCCCACCAACTTAACTTCAAAAGAAAACACTTTGGAATAAATATAACAATGGAGATAGGAGACTAACCCCTTCGTTAAACCATGTGCTAGCAGCCTGCAAGTAAAAAGATATCATATCAGAACTAAATTCAAAACAGGTTAAGAGGTCTCTTACAGTATCCAATCATTGATATCAGTTATCAACCTGAAGTTTAGTTATACAACAGATGGGGCCAGCAAACAGATACAAATAATCAAGTTACAAGTTTAGTACAAACAAAAATAAAAACCAGTGTCCGTTCTCATCAAACAAGGATGCAGTACTTCAAAAATCCGGAACCAAAAAAGAAACACTATGCCAGGTATGAGCACTCAGATTATAGAGGGAAACCTTAATATTCAATTTTCGTAGCACTGTTTACAAAACGAAAGGAGGAAAATGTTTTCTATGTGAATCAAATCCTTCAAAGGACCTAATACTTAAAAAAAAAAAAAAAAAAAGGAATACCTCCTTCGCTCTTGTTGTTACTTCAATGACCTGATTTGTGGATTTCATGATCTTATGTTGGTCAAATGCTTTAGTATCTGCAAGGATCATCATATCCCCGATCAGACAACATCCATAATAATTTGTTCACTGTCTCTAAGAGAAAGTTACAGGTAAGAAAGAAACCTGATAAGTGTTGAAGCTTCCTCTTCTTCAAAGCATTAGTAGACGGGGTACAATATGAATGTTTTACTTCAGTTCTGGCAACAGTCTTGTCCGTCTTAGAAACATTGCCCTGTCTGCCTTGTCCGCCTAAAATAATTGGGACTTTATTCAGTTCCGGGAATGATCAGATTAACAGTTAAGCTCATATATGAATTTACAAGAATCAACCCATTATCTTTCCGAGTAATCACCTCTTTCTACCAATTCTGTCACCTGACACTGTGAAATGGTAGTGCACTTGTCCGTTCTTGCCATAGCAACATCTTTTGTGGAGGATTTAGTTTGCTTGACCAGAGCCACACGTGGCAATGTCGACTCTGCAAAAGCCGAATTGAAAATAAACACAGGTTGTCGACATCACAACTAAGAATTTACCACACATGTCTACAAGTAGTTACGACTGTTTCTTCCTGGTTGGTCGTCTTTCAGTGTTGTTTTAACTGTTGCTCCTCCAAATGAATGTGGCTTGTCAAGACTTGCTTTTCCTCCATAATGAAGAGGCTGCTTCAGATCTGTCACCTTATTAAAGAAGTGCTCCACTGCAGCAGGAGTGAGTGAAATGCCTCAAATCATTGATTTTCAGTATTTAAATGCAGTAGAGTAAGAATGTAAAAACTGAAGAAGCAGATTATACTGCAAACTTATACTCAGAGGCTAGGTTTCAATATAAACCTTCATGCATACAAGTAAACTAAGCAAAAAGAAATAGACATTTTGGTTCATCCCAAAGAAATTTACATCATTCGCCTCACGTGTCTGGCGATGTGTGATACAATAAAAAGAGCACATGTCCACTTCGGTTGACACCAGCATCCTCCCTATACTGACAACTCACAAGTCACAGCAAACACTTACATAGAGTCATTGGCAGATGTTTCTTCTTTATTAATAAGCAAGATTTTGAGGAGAATTTTACAAAACTTATTTTTGGATCAAAAGCTAAGCAAAATGCCAACCATAAAACGTCAAATTATCATAGACATGACTACATCTCTTTAGATATGTCCATCACTACAGTTCTTTGGTTAGTACATTATCCAATGCATTCATTTAAACGAAGATGTCAGCCATAATAAAGACTTCTAAGAAACTTATACCAATATATCCATCACTAGAGCTCCTTAAATTCAAGAAAAACTGGCGCCATGACTTAAAAAGCAGTGAATGAAAGGTAAAAACTGAAAGAAACAAGACCTTGCTCTAAATTCCAAGAACGTTGAAGAAATACTGCACCAGAAGTCATAGAGCTTTGGAGAGTCCTAGGAAACCCAACCCTCTAGATATGCATCAGATAAAAGGCAACACTAATGGGTGAACAGGTGACAAAAAATAGAGGCTGAAACCAAATGACTATGAATGGGAATGCATAAATGAATGTGTAATTGTGAATAGCCATGAAGGTCCAACATCCATTTATTACTATTCTTCCATTTTCCACCTCTATAGAAGAAGCAACCTGAATGCTAGCAATATTGCCTTCACATATCCCAATTTGACTAAAACACTCAAGTGAAATAGTATATTAAGATGTTCTGCTATATATTGCAAAAATTATCTAGTTCTGTCTATTATTCTTTTGTCTTATCAAAATAAAGAAGACATCAAGTGATGGAAATAATCCTGTAACAAGAACGTGCATGGGCGAGAGCACAGGAAAACCAATAAGCACCTGCGTCAGTTAAATTAGAGTCCTACCCCTTTAAACAGCAATGTAGTGGGAATTTTTTTATGGTATTTATATATCTTTATCCTTGTACTTATTTGATTTCTTCATTTAGACAATGTCCTCGAATGTATTACATAATCCTAAGCAACTATAAAACCGAGGTTCCCGAAGAATTTATAAACTGTTTTCAAATAAGTTGCACAAAATTTTGAGAAAACAAAATTCTGAAAGGTAGTATCATATGTTAAAGCAGTTCTAACGAAATAAACCAAATGTATGACACAGAAATCTGAGAAGCAGAAACCATTCAAGCATTTAACAAGCTGTTCCATCCAACCATAAAATGCATAACACTGTGGGACTGAATGGAAATGAAGCAACAGAATTAGAGTCGCTACCTTCAATTTGTGCTATTGAACTTGGAAATTCCTCAGATATCTCCTGAGTGCCGACATCAAAGGTGCGATAAAATAAAAACTCAGCTGTTTCCAAATCTCTGTCTTTTGGCTGAGGGTTCCTCCTATCAATTGATATGCAGACAACATTGCATTTACCGGTGATGGCTTCCTGTAATAATATCTCAAAGAGGTCAGACCATTACATCTAAAAACAGATGAGATTAAAATTATACCTTTAAAAGGCTGAGTGAAAGAATTACCAGTGGATTACAATTTGAAAGCCCTACGCCTTCTCCTGAAGCCAACAGTAACTCATTGTCAAGCACCTTGGTATTACCCAACCAATGAGTTACCTCGGTGGGACGGAAAAACCATACCACCTTGACTAACCTTTTCCGTGTTTTCGTTTCCCACACCTTAACAATCTTACCAATGTCTGGCTCCTCTTCACCATGACGATACATGTAAACACAATCATATAAGTTGAATTCGACTCCAGCATAAGTGAATGACTTGTAAAATTGGACATCCTTGTTAAGGGCACCCTTTCCCTTCTTGGCACCCCAACTAAATTCGGGACTATCTTCTTCCACTGCTTCTTGACGGGGGAACATTTGATACTTATCACAATTTGATGTTAATCTTTCGAAGATCTGGAATGGAAAGACATATGCCTGTCATTGACAACTAACAACCATCTAAAAAAGTAGATGTGCACATACTACAATTACATAAAAGCATAATAATATACAAAGACCCAAAATTCATAGAGAATTCGAAGAAAGCAGAAAGCCACACACTGAGACCTCGCTTTAGAAGAAGGAAACAAAGAAAGCAAACAAAGGTAGACTCCAAAAGAACAAGCCATTCAAAGAAAAAATGTTCTATGTTCCCTCTTAAGTATCATTTTCAGTTTGAAGTGGGATTCAATAATTAAACATATAATAAAACTCAAAAGAGTATCTTAGCACATTACATAGAACTTGGTTTTTCTTAGAAAAGAAGATGGAGCATCGCGATGACTGGAGTATCTCATTCCAGAAAACATACCATAAGAGGATTACTAGATCTACATGGAAAGAGAGAAATGCAAGATGTTTCGAAGAGAAACTAGAAACTGTACAGTAAATTAAATACTCATGCTTGTGGATTTTTTATGCAACCTACAAGATGTTAAAGATGATTAGAATAGCTTGATTGAATTCATAAACTCACCGCAGGACTCGAATCGTGTATAGATGGAACCATTTCCTTCTGTTTTTCTTGCAGAAATGTTCCGATGATTGTAATTCTCTGGTACCAACTACCAACTTAGTACAAGATTTGTTTTACTGATATACACAATACTTTACCAGACTCAAAAAAGGAGTTCCATGATTGTCGAATGATGACAAGTATCGGCTGTTGTCCAAAATAAATATTTAAACAAAAAAGACATGATATATGCGATATATGTTAGCTCCTACAATGCAATGTACATGGGATTACAGTGTTGAGATCTGTGTTGTCAAAGGCGCGTTTAAAGCACACTTAAACCCTAAGCGAGGCTCAAAACATGCTCGGCGCTTTGCCTCGCTTATTGCGTGTTTGAATGCCGTCATCAAGGCTCTAAGTATCTCCCAAAGTGACGACACTAATCAATTGGTATCTTATTTTATCATTATAAAAATCAAATTCATTGTCCATACATGTTATTCATGCTTATACGTATTAGTCTTGGACTAAACATATATAGTTGTATTTATTCTTCATTTGCGTTTTTTTCATTAAAACCCAGCTCACACTTTATTTGTGCTTTGCGCTTAGAGCGACCTTAGAATTTTTTTCACTTTCAACAACCCTGGCTTAAATGTGGATAATTTAGATATCTAGACATTATATTCCAAAAGAACAGTATGATAGATGCAACAGATAGAATTAAAAATAGGATGGTTGAAATGGAGGAGAGCTATTAGAATGCAATGCAAAGGAAAATACCCACCAAAATAAAAGACAAATTCAATAGTTCATCAATGCCATAAGAAAGTAAAAATTTTATGCTTCTAAAGTCCAACACATCCACGAGATGAGCAAAATATAAATCACACAAATTTTCAATCACTTACCCAAAAAACACTTCACAAGTTCACCCAAATACACAAAAGATCAATAAAATCACAGTATAAACTATAAAAACCAAGAACATATACAAAATTGAACCAGAAAAGAAAGCAAAAAAATAATGTACGAGCAATAAGTAAAATTTACCAAAACACACATTCATCTTTTTCGAAACATTAAAACCCATAGAGTACATAGTTTTTTTCCGTCTACTTGAAACTGTAGAACGATTAACCATACATCCATACACAGCAATGATCAAAAACCAAATGATCCAAAGTTTTTTCCGTCTACTTGAAACTGCAGAACGGTTAACCATACATCCATACACAGCAATGATCAAAAACCAAATGATCCAAACCCTATGAAACCAACCTATCGCATACATACCTGAAGAATAGAAAAAGTTGCCGAGAGAGAGAACGGAAAGGGAAACAGAGCAAGTAAGTGCACTGAAAAAAAAAATTATCAAATAAACTCCATAAAAATCCTAAAACATACTAGAAGTTTCTAGAATACAATCGCCCACAAAAACAACGTGGACAACGGTAATGTGAACACAAAATAGGAGTGCTGATTCAAACCTTGAGCAATGGAGATACTAATACAACAAAAACAAAAACAAAAAACAGAGACGGTTACTGGAGTTAGCGTATCGTCTTCTTCTTCTCTGTGCAGTACTTGTTTTTGCAGAAAATGTGACAACACTAATGTGATGAGCTGCAAGCTTCTTTTTCTTTTTTACTATAAATAATATCATAGTAGGAGTAGTACTTAAAGACTAATTTCTTGTTAATGTCTTGGAATTCGCAATAATTTCAAAGGAAGTCCTCTTCATTAAGAAATAAAAATTATGAGGATTAAAGCGGTAATTACGTGGAGGAGTTGTGATTAACATTTGGCACCATTCTCTCATGCACAACACAACACCACGTGCTTCCTTAATTAAGTAGTGTTGTACTCTCTTTTTTTTTTAGAGTCAATTTCATTCTTAATATTAATTATTTTGAATAATTGCAAAAATAATTTGAATGTGATATCTTTTGGTGGGGGATTTAGGCGTGTCACGTCAACCATCTTCCAGTTCCTGGATAATCGTTCTCGGATAATGCTTGCTGCAGGGGCTAACTCTATCTTCGCGCATACTTTCATGGGTTGTCTGGGAGTTGAATCAGAAGCATTGAATGAAAGGTTCTTTCTAAGACCATCTGCTATTGAATCAACTGCTGTTGTCGGGCGAGATTCTATCTTTTCCTCGTAGCCCATAGGATTTTACTTTGGGGAAGCTCATTCCTTGGATGGATCATAACTTATACAAAGGATAGTCTCTGTAAGAAGGACCAAAGCGCGACTTCGGAGCCGGTGATCTGTTAGGCCTAAGATCCTCTCTCTTACTTGACGAAGTGCGCAAGCAATTTCTCCTTTCTCTTAGGGGTAGAACTTACTGAACAGCTACCCTGGTTGGTATTGGTGTGTGGGAATGGGAATGGCTTCCAAAATTCCCTTTAGCTCTACGGATGACTAACAAGGCAGGATCCAAGCGGTAGATGTCCCAGTGACGTCAACTCAAGGAAGATTCGAGGGGCGTTCAACTACTTGACTGTAAATTTAAAAATTATATAATACTAAAAAATACTACTGTACTAATATAGGTTATTCGGGGTATTTTCAACACTATAAAAAATTTATGAAGTTGAAATTTAAATATCTCAATATTTTAAATAATTGACCTCACATGATTGCTCTGAATGGTTTTAGGCCTATTTTTACATTTAGGGTGGTAAAGGTGGAATCTACCTCCTTTTGGGTGGTGAAAATGTGATGCAAATGGAGCATCAAGAGGTAATATTGGCCCTAGCACTATTGCATTTTATGTTAGGAATTCTTTTGGTGATCTGGTGGGAGCAAAGGGGCTAAGGTGCAAGACACAACAAATATAATGGCTAATGCTAAGGCTATGGCTTTGAAGGAATGACTTGAATATTGTTTGGAGAATACATTTTCATCAGTTATACTGGAATCTTAGTCTTTATCATTAATTAATATGTTGAAAGGAGATTGAATTGCTCTTTTGAGTGTTACTTTGGAAGTCAATTCTATTAACAGAATGAGGGTTTTGTTAACAACAAGAATACAACACACCTCTAAGAAAGGAAAATATTCTTGTGAATTATTCCACTAACCTAGCTATTAATTTTGCAGGTACTTTTGAATTTAAATAGTTTCAAGATATATCAGTTGTAGACAGAAAGATAATTAATACAGAGAAATAGGGTATTCCCCATTTTATGATAAGACAATCTTGTTAAGTCTATTTTAGCTCATTTTATACCTATGACGGTTCAGTGGTTGTTAATAAAATCATATAGTCTCTCGTATGTACTCTTCATCTCGTCTGGATTAGATTATATTAATTACGTATTATGCACCTGGTGAGAGCTTTGAGGTGCATCTTATGATAAAAATCTAAGACGGGTGAATTTGTATTAACTTTTGTTCTGCTAGATAGTTTATTGTCCAATTCACCTATGAGTTTAGCTTGAGACTGTGGCCCTCAATTGTGCCAATCACATATGAGTCTGGTGTTGGTGCTATATAATTTTAGACTCGGACTCAATCTCATACATTTAGTATTTTTTTCTCATAGATCCAAATCTAGATGTTGGTTTTAATCCTATGTGGGGTTCAATTCATTAGATATAAATTGAATGAAAGCGATTATTATATTAGCTAGGTTGATCGAGCCTCATTTTTCCGACTGTAGAAAGCAAGAATTGATAATTACTAGATAAGACATCCTCAAGGAAGTTTTCTTCATGTCTAATTTACTTACCCTAGGAGTCAACCAGGATATATGTCAGTTTAATAATTCTTCATAGATAGGTTGGTGTGCATAACATAGAGAATTATGGTTAGATAGAGACATTGTAAAAGAGATTTATGCTTGAGCTTATCAGAATGGAACCGCACTCCTAAGCTTGTCTTCAACGAACTCTCGAACAACGCCTTCAAAGACGACGTAAAGGCTGAGATTGACTTGCTTCAACAAGCATCGAGCCTCAGCTAACTTGTACCCACAAGACTTATGACTAGAATTTATCAATTTCTCCAACTTGTAATTCAACACAAGTGAAATTTTCAGATTTTGTGAAGATTTTTAATTAGCTAATTCTACTTAAACTAACTTATAACTATTACAATTCAATTTCTTAAGTTTCAAACAATGATTTGGGTAAGATCCAGGGCTTCAGCTTTTACCAGAAATCATGTAATCAATATATGTTAATAAGGTTAGATGTATGATCATGGTCTCCTAACCTCTAATCGCCTACAATAGTTAATACCATAACTACATCATTGAGCGGGGATAGAATGATTAAAAATTGAGCATTAAGATATCTTCCTGTATGGTGACCCAAGCAAGGTTTTAAGTATATCCCTTTCCTAGAAACGAATCAACCCTAGATATTTAGAGTTAAACAGGCTCCTTATGCTCCACATTCTATCCTCTTATTTCTTTCTCGAGTTCAATTCGAACAATATATTTATTTCTATGGTGATCAAGCATGAAATACCAAAAGCAAAAACATAAGAGAAATTCATATGATAATTCATTATAACTAGGGTATTTATCTACTCATAATTGGATAATCAATTTTACAATGTTTTTGAATCATCACAATATGATTGAAAAGAAAAAAGATAGCAAATGAACCCTAGAAACTTCAAAGTTTCGTTCTCCCAGTGTTTCCGTTCGAAATTAGAAAAAGAATGATAATAAAACTAAAATAAAACCCTATTTATACTAAAAATCGAAACGGCCAATTTGAGGCCTCAGGCGCGCGACACGCGGCAGTCTTTAAATTGTAGATTCAAAGACTACTAATGAGATCAAGGACAAACTCTACTCCATAGGTATTACGTTAGATGAAAACAAGAAGGACAAGGCCATCTCGATCCTTATCAACTCATGGCAACTCTCCTCTCTAATCTCCCCAGCAACGTTTGAGGGCTAATTAATATGGACAAAAAGGAGTCTCCTATTCTTTAGACAAATTAAAGGATAAATATATTCTTGAACTAGCGAAAAAGGATAAATATATTCTTGAACTATCGTAAATGGTATGCAGATATCATCCATCATACTTTTAGGACATTGATGCATCTACTGTCCAAAAAGTGGAATATATATATTGCTTGCACCAACGGACATACAGATATCATAATCTTATTCGCTGATTCGATACTTATTAAATATTGGATCGACGGGTAAGATTGCTCCATGTGTCTTTACTTAACCTTCCGTTAGATTGAAAGACATATATGTCCTAGTTTTCGGACGATAGAAGCACCAGTGTCCCAAAAATATGAAAGAGTATATTTGCATATCATTTATGATAGATAGTTTGAGGATATATTTGTATTTTTCCCCTTCTCATTATTAAAATAACACAATAATATTTTTAAAATTCTTATTCTTAATTTTTACACAGTAAAATCTTTATTTTATTTTATGTCTTGTAGAATATTTTTTATGTTTTACTTTGTGGAATCATTTTTTAAATTTATTTGAAGTGATTTTAAAAATTAGATTAAATTTTCATATTAAAATTTAATTATATCAATATTTAGTATTTTCCTTGATTTACTTTTTAATAAATAAATATAATAATGAATCAGAAACTTGAATAATCGATGAAATAATTACAGAATAATCTTTCTCATTTAGCTTTATAATTTTAATATTTGAGTCAATTTTCCAAATGGTCACCCAAGTTAAGAGAATTGCCTTATAATATCATTTATGTTTTATTTAGGACTAAAATCTCAGCCAACTATCACTATTTTCCTCCAAATTTACTTGACAACTCAAAAGCATTATTCTCTCCTAGTTAGCATGACATGTCATTAAAGTCTTTTTTTAATAATAGACCAATTATATTCATTAAACTCATTTAACTAAAAATGATCATATTATTTTTAATTTTTTTAATTAACTTATTAAGAATAAATTTTCATACTTAAAATCTTTTATCATAATTAAACTTTTTATTTTTTTATGTTACGCAAAACGTACTATAATCTCATCAATTTTAAATACATAGATTCAAAAAATATTGATATTCAAATCACTTATGAACGCTAATTACTTTAATTAATCATAAATTGTATAATAAATCAATAATATTAAAGATCGATTAATTATTAAAAAATAATTATTTGGGTGCTTTTAAATCCATATATACTTACAATATCTTTTTTTAAAAGAAAATAGTAAGTGAATGATACTTATAGAAAATAAAATTTTGATATTTATTTATTAGTATATTAATCTCATATAATATGTATACTGTCGAATTAAATTAGTAAATTCAATTAATTATTAGTTCATTTATTGATTTTTAATTGTATGAAAAGTTATAATATAATATAGAATAAAAGAATAAAAATAACAATAAAATCAAAAAAAGTTAAATTATAATTTTCTTTTTCTTACCAATTTTTTTGTCAACCTTACAAATTTATCTAAATACTTTTATTTAAAAAATTATTTAAATTTTTTAAATAATTTAGTTAGGAATTTTAAAATTATCAGGTAATAAGTGCACACAGAGATTTTCTCATTGAATTTTGTTTGGTGATAATATATAAAGTTACTAGACTTTCTAAATTACTTTTCTTATAATCTTCATAAATTCTCATGTAATTTATATATTTATTTTGTAGAGACATAAGTTTGATGAATTAAATAGGTCTATTATTTTTTTAAATTTTATTTAA